ACTTTAATTTATTAAATGAAATATTGTATATTTTTCTTATATTATATGCAAGCGAATATGAAGACAAATTCGACGACAAATCATTCAATGATCCTCACACTTACAGAGGTTAAGAGTAAAAAAAATAGTTCGGATATTGCGTATTGATCTACTTATCGGTATTTCATATTGAGATTTACTGTTCGATATTACTTTCACTCGCTAGAATATACTTTATGCAAGACACTTTTAGTAGCTTCTGCTAATTGTATTTGCAATACCGATGCACGGTCATTTGTTATGTCATTTGTTTTCGTTTCAAGTGTATATTTATGACGTAGCAATTACTATTGTGTGGAAAAAGTTCCTTACACTCGACATTAACTCAGGCTTATGGGAGGAACCTGTTCATAAATTCTCAAAATGGACTATACTAGAGGGCTGCTGAAGAATTCCTAATTTGAACTTCTGGACTCTGAACGTCATGTAATAAATAGTACGTACTTGTCACTTTGATAGTTCTAATTACAACCTAATTACAGCATAAAACCATTAAAAGTGTAGACTATGAAATATTGAACATCCCACCATGAAACACCGGATAGATAAGATACACCGATGCACAAACATCTTTCTCCGAAATATTCCTTTTGTTTCGATAAGCGTTTGAATGGCACATCGTTGAATTGGTCTTCAAACAATATGATTAGAAAAAATTTTTATGCACCATTGCATCGTATATAAAAAAACAGTATAACTTTGTCCTCTTTCATTTTTTCATAACATCTACCGTTTACGAGGAAAAACATTGGTAAACTCGTGGACACCTTATATGTATTTATCATAGTATAAATCGAGAAACTTTTTTCGATTGGGAAATAAGTTTTTTTTTTTTTACGATGGACAGCCTGAACGACAGCCTATCTGCGACGTACCGATTCATATGTGTAAAACTATATCTTATGCTTGAAATTGTAAAGTTCAACACATATGATGAAAATCTATGATTCTACGCGATGTTGAATTTGATTTTTTTCATTTAATTGCCAATATTAATTCTTTTACTTTCAGCTCTAGAAGAAAGCACATCGCTTCGAAACGGCTAAGAGTATTATGGTCCGTGTACTATGCTATTTCTATAGCGCAAAATTCGTGAAATTCGTAACCATTTATCGCGGCAAGTTATTTGACGATGAATTTTTATTGCAGGGCAAACACTATTTATTATAATAAATAACCGATAATACATAATATTTCGAAAATTGTAATATGTTGTTTGGTAAACAGATTAACGTTTCCATCTATAAATAAATAACGTGTATTAGCTGTGTTATTCTTCGAAATAAGTTACCTTGGTAATTCAAACCGCTTCCGTAACTATTTACTCGCGAACAAACCGTTCTCTAAAATTAAATTTGGCTCCTCTATATTCGATACACGTCGAAACTTTCCAACTAACCTAAATACTAAAATCATGATTTCTTGTTGCTTTTGTCATTTT